TGCTGTGGTGTGATCACAGCGCACTGCAACCTCTGCCTCCTGGGTTCAAGCGTTTCTCCTGCCTCAGCCTCCTGAGTAGCTGAGATTATAGGCATGCAACACCACACCCAGGTAATTTTTGTATTTTTAGTAGAGATGGGGTTTTGCCATGTTGGCCAGGCTGGTCTTGAACTCCTGACCTCAGGTGATCCACCTGCCTCAGCCTCCCAAAGTGCTTGGATTACAGGCCTAAGCCACCGTGCCTGGCCGACCAGTGATTCTCTATTGAAACTTGGACATTTGGGATATTATAATACCATGGATTCTATCTAAACCTTTTGTTTTAGCTGGCTTTTTCTGACACTTTTCTGGTAGAGGAAAGAGGGTGTACTACCTTGTTTTTGCCAGGTGGGGGTGGAAGTACAAGGGTTTTTTTTGTTTGTGTTTTTTTTTTTAAGAGGTGGGAGTCTTGCTTTGTTGCCTGGGCTAGAGTGTGGTGGCATAATCATAGCTCACTGCAGCCTTGAACTGGGCTTAAGCAATCCTCTTACCTTAGCTTCCCAAGTACCTGGGCATATAGGCACATGCCACCATGCCCAGCTAATGACTTTTTTTTTTTTTTTTTTGAGACAGAGTCTCACTGTTGCCCAGGCTGGTCTCGAACTCCTGGTCTCAAGCAATCCTTCCACCTCACCTTCTGAGTGGCTGGGATTTACAGTCACAAGCCATAGTGCCTAGCAAGTCGAGGTTTCTAAATTGGCCTCTGTTGACACTTTAGTTTTTTTGGGAGGGAGCTTGCGGGAGAGGTCTTTGTTATTGCCAGGTAGCTGTAGTTCTGGCTCTCCATGTGATCTTCACTGATACCCTGGAGAGGGTAACCTCATTACGGTTGGTGGTTGTGCCTGTCCTAACTAGGCCTTCTGTGCCAGCGCTTCAGTGGGGTGGGGGAGGTCCTCTTTGTTACTGTTGTTGGAGGTGAAAGTTTAGGTTTTCTGTGTCGTCTCCTCTGACATTGCGGGATCATTGAGCTTTATTATGTTTTCAGGAAGCAATGGAAGTTTCTGTTTTCTAGTCAGCCTTCTTGTGCACCATCTTGGCCCAGTACTAGGGTATTTTATTATAGCCTACCTTGGCTTCCACCTGATCTTTGCTTGTGTGGATGGAGGTGGAACTGCAGTTTTGTGTGTGTGTGTGTGTGTGGTGTTTGGATAGAGTGCATTGTAATTGTCTACATATTATCTTGCTAGGCTTCCTCTTTTTTGTTCCTTTGGCTAGAGAGTAGGCTTTTTTTGTTCAAGACTTATTTGTCTGAATTAATTGGTGTTTCCTGGTTGCCAGTTTCTTCAGCTTTGTGTCTGAGATATATGAAAAAGAAAGCCCAGGGAACTAAACTCACCACTGTATTTGTCCTTGCATTCTCAGGTCCTTAGGTGGTCAGCCTTCTAGTCTCCGTTATTCAGTCTTAAGTTTGTCATATGCCTAAATCCAGCACTCTTAGTTGTATTAATGAGTTTAAAAGGAAAATGTGTATCTGCTCCATCTTCCTCAAAGTAGAAACCTTTATTCCATAAATTTTGAAATGGGGTATCAATTTTCATTTAGTACTACATATTTTCTAATTTCTATTTTGACCTTTTCTTTGATTCATAAGTTATTTAGAAATGTGTGTCTTACTTTGTAAACACGTGGCTTTTCTGGTTATTTTTTGTATTGAGTTTTAGTTTAATAGCATTGTGGTCAGAGAAGGTGTCTTGTATGATCTTGGTCTTTTAAAATGTTTGAAATTTTTAAAAAATACCTGGCATGTGGTCGATATTTATAAATGTTATGTGTATACTTGTGAGTTGTGTGTATTCTGTAGTTATGGAGTATAGTCTTCCATATGTGAGTTAGGTCAGCATGGTTAATTGTGTTGTTTAAATTACCTGTGTTCTTATTGATTATTTTTTAAAATCATCTTGTCCCATTAGTTACCAAGAATAGTGGTGAAATTCTCCTCTTATCATTGTGAATTTGTCTATTTCTCCTTAGAGTTTTGACAACTTCTGCCTTACATATTTAGTGGCCATAGTAAGTGCATATAAATTTAAAATCATCACATCTTTCTGGTGTATTTAACCTTTATCATTATTAATTTCTCTCTCCATTTTAAATAGTGGGGGTTTTTTTGCCTTAAAATCTACTTTTATTATTTTTAAATAGTGGTGTTTTTTTGTCTTAAAATGTACTTTTATTATTTTTTCATTGAGAGTAGTCAGTACTCTAAGAAAATCTTGTTTTAAAAGAGAAGATCAAATTTTAGTTTTGTATCAGTGTACTTTTGATATGAGGAGTCAATTTTAAGACAAACCTATAAATAGTTTACTTTTCATCTTAGCCAATTTGTTCACAAATAAAATTTCTTTCATAAGATTCATCTCACAAACCTTTCATAATTTGCCCAGACCTTCTACAACTTGCTTAATCCTTTAGTTTTGCCTTATATTTCTCTTTTCTATATTGAAACAATCATTTTACCTTAGGACAAAAATTTACTTCCCTTTTTTTCTATCATTTCAACCACATAAGATTTTTTTATACAAAAAATTACTGTCATTCTCTTTTCTTACCAAAAATACATTGTCATAGTTTTTGTATCTGTTTTTCGCTTGTTACTTTCTGCCTTGTTTTTATGTTTTTCCAAATTCATATTTTGAAATAATCTTTCAATAACCTCTGAATTAGACAAACTACTTTTTAAATAAAAACATTTTTATGTCTTTTAAAACAATTTTTCACCAAAAACAAATTTTGTTTTTTTCTTATACACTTTGCATACAGAATTGTATGTGTTAACTAGAATTTTAACTCTTAGTAATCTTAATTTTTAGTTAAATCTTAGTAATCTTAATTTTTAGTGAGAACCTAGGAAGTAAGCAATTTTGAGCTGTCACATATCAACATTTTATAAATACACATTTTATAATCTTTAAAAATGTATTTTTTTCCGTAGAATAATTTTTAATGTGGAGCCAAACGTATTTATTAATCCCCAAATATTTTTTCTTCCTATAAAGCTTTAAGAAGCCAAGAGTAAACCTAACCTTACATTTAGCAATTAGTGTTTCCTTATTTTAACTTATTTGGATTGCTACTACAATAAAGCAAGTCACATGAATTTTCTGGTTTCTCAGTGCATGGAAAAGTTATGTTTACACTATACTGTAGTCTGTTAAGTTTACAATATAATTATGTCTTAAAAATGTAGATACCTTAATTAGAAAGTGCTTTGTTGTTAAAAATTACTGTTGATCACCTGAGCCTTCAGTAAGTCATCCTCTGTTAGCAGATGGAGGGTCTGGCCTTTCTGTTGATGGCTGCTAACTATTTAGAGTAGTGGTTGCTGAAGGTTGGGATGGCTGTAGCAATTTCTTAATATGAGACAACAATGAAGTTTGCCACATCAGTTGATTCTTCTTTTCATGAAAGATTTCGTTGGAGCATGAGATTCTATTTGATAGCATTTTACCCACAGTGGAGTAAAAATTGAATGCCAATTTTATGATGCAATTCATTAATCCTTGGCAAATGTATACTTTTGGCAGGATAATTTTGTGGTAGCTGCTACAGATAGCACGTTCTGTATTTACAAAGATTGAATCCCAGTGCACGTTAAACCTAAGAGTAAGGAGTATAATGTTCTTGAGGGACTTTTCCCCTTCTGTTAAAATATAATTTCAGAATAAACCAAAACAACTGCAATTATAGTTTAAAGGTTGTCTTAAGTAATATGTAGATATCACACTAATTTATCAGAGATGGTATAATTCAAGCAAGGCTGAATAATGGTTGATTTGCATAGGACAAAGATTTTTTTTGTTATAAGAAGTGATTTGTTAATAACCCATGACTAAGGAAGATTCTATCAGGAAAAAAATATGTATGTATATATGTGTGTGTGTGTATGTGTATATATATGTGTATATGTATGTATGTATTATGGGACTAGAGAAAGAAAGGAGACAACTATTTTAATTAAAATTTTTGTTCTTAGTTATAAGAACACTTTGAAATATCATTTTTTACTTCTAGATGAAATAAACAGTGACGTTCGTAATACCGAGTCAGTGCTTTTGGAGATAGGTAGATTTAGTTTTCTGTTCTGAACAGTGTATAACAAATAGGAGTTGATCAATATTTATGTGTTGACTAATTTCTCATCTGAATCTGCAGTCTGGGTGCAGCTTGCGTTGTGTCAAATAAAAGACTCTTCAAAGCATTAATCATAGACATAGTTACTTGCTGGAAGTCACCTTTTGAAGACCTTGATTCTCCCCAGCCAGTTACCAGGTTCCAAATAGCTTTTCCTCTAATTTGGAAGTATGGATTTTGTACCAGGATCTATACTTGGAGCTTACTGCAGTAGCTTCAGGAAACACAACACTGGTTTGTGAATTTAAGACTACCTAAACTGGAGAAGTCTGTGCTTCTAGTGGAGCTAGGTTAATACTTGAAGATGTGATTTTTATGGTCACAGAAGCTGCATGGAAATAAAGAAAATTTTTCGAGGTGCGATTCGGCTTTATATTTGCATTTTGTTTTATGAACAATTAAAATCTGAGAATTGGGCTTTGTAATAAAAATGATAAGGATAGGCTGGGCATGGTGGCTCACACCTGTAATCCCAGCACTTTGGGAGGCCAAGGCAGGCAGATCGCCTGAGGTCAGGAGTTGGAGATCAGCCTAGCCAGCATGGTGAAACCCCGTCTCTACTAAAAATACAAAAGTTAGCCGGGCATGGTGGCAGGCACCTGTAATCCCAGCTACTCAGGAAGCTGAGGCAGGAGAATCGCTTGAACCTGGGAGGCAGAGGTTGTAGTGAGCCGAGATCACACCATTGCACTCTAGCCTGGGCAGACTCCTCCCCCCCCCCCCCAAAAAATAAAAGAAAAGATAAGGAGAATAATAAAAGTGATAAAAATATGTAACATTAAAGGAAGCTTACTTTTACTGATCGCAAATTATGTTTTTTCTCTGCGCAGGTATAATTTGGCCTTCTGAGATTCTGCCTTAGCAAGAAAGGAGCAGGAAATACTCTTGGAAAGAAAACTAAAACAGTAAGAAAGCCAAAACTTATTTTTACATGGTTGTCAGCACATTTACCGATATGGACACTTTTCCCAATAATTTTCCTCCTGGTGGAGACAGCGGATTGACAGGTTCTCAGTCGGAGTTCCAGAAAATGTTAATTGATGAAAGGTTACGATGTGAGCATCATAAAGCTAATTATCAGACTCTGAAGGCTGAACACACAAGGTAAATTACTTAAATCTAGAAGTGGGGTTTAGTTTTAAAAAGTTATTGGCATTATCTTGGCTGAATGTTTGCTATGGAATATAGTATAATTTTGTTATTTTGCAGTGTATACATTTAAAACTTTTTTAATATAGTAAAATTTTTACTTTAAAATTATTTTGTTCCAAACTAAGTATGATATCAAGTGGGTTATGAATTTATACACCTTATTTTGAAAGTAGCAAGACATGTAAGATTAAATGTATCCAGATGGCTAAATGTGTTCTCCATCTCCCACCAAAGTAAAATTGCGTTCCAAAACTACAGTGTTAATAATTAAATGAAACTCTGTAAAGAGAAGATATTTGTGGGTTTGAAGTAATGTGTGATATTGGTCTTGTTTTTCTGTAGTGTTGATTGACTTTACATAAAGTAATGCAATTAGAGAGAAAGGATTTACTCAAAATTGAATTCTTTTTTAAAAAACCAGGTTGCATAATGAATATGTAAAGTTACAAAATGAACTCAAGCACCTGTTTAATGAAAAGCAAACTCAGCAGGAAAAACTTCAGCTGCTGCTTGAAGAACTAAGAGGAGAATTAGTAGAGAAAACTAAAGACTTAGAAGAAATGAAACTGCAGGTGAGAAAATATATTTGAGTTAGTATAAAAGTAGTCAGATATGTAATGGAAGTAAGTAGTTTTGGTGAATTTGGCAATTTCTGTCTATATCCTTAGTGATTACTTTGCTGTATCTCCAAGTGGTACAATTTAATCTTCTTTCATATATTTTAGAGTGTTAGCTACCATGTAAGGGAGCCATTAAACTATTATTTTATGTAAATTGGTATTATATTGCCTATTCTGATATAAATAATATTTTACCATTAAGAATAATTAGGGAAAAAGTGAGTTTGAATTGATAAAAATCCAGAATTAAAGAATTTTTTTAAAAGAAAGATTTACTAATATTTGTATATGCATTATAACTGAAAGTAAACTAAAAAAAGATAGCTGTTCGTAAGGAGCTTCTTAAAAGAGACTGTAAAAACAGTATGTGCACATAATTTTTGTGTACGTCGTAAAGCAAATGGGTTTGTAAAGCAAAAGATGGTTATCTCTGAAGTGCTGAAGTACAGTTTCTTTAGATAATTTTCACACTATTCATTTTTTCATTTGTCTGGAAAGTAGACCAAAGCCAGACTTTAAACTCCAGTCAAGTTTCCTGTAAATTTTAAATTAGTAGGTTCTCACAAATAATATTTTCCTGTATTTATTTAATCTCTGAAGAGCACCAGCTATTTATTTCTGCCTAACAATCTACTTGGTACAAATAATCAGGTATTATTAATATTAGAGTCAGAAGTTCAGAGAGTAAGAAGGCATCTTTCAAGTCACCTGTCTGGCATATCACCCAACTCTTAGATATCCTTTGACAGAAGCCTTGTAAGTTTGTCATTCAATAACTTTTTGAAATCTACCATTGCTGGAAACACCAGGAAGCCTGGCTTGGAGCCTCCACTATGCTCACTGTTTCATTCCTAGGTATATTTAGGACATTTAAATATACAAATAGAAACCTCAGAAATGTAAATTGAAGAGGGAAATGTAATTTAAGCTTGTACAATCAGTGCATTAATTTGTTTTGCAAAAATTTAGAGCCTTGTGTGAATGGAAGCTGTGAATGCTGAACCCAAGATATTTGAGAGATTCTTCAGGTATTATAAATTTAATTCTGTTTTGTGAGAGTGACATCTAAACGTGATTATTTGTACCAAGCACATCCAGAAAGTAAGTAAAGCACATCCAGAAGGCTGGAGTAGCTATATTAATATCAGATAAAAGAGACTTCCAAACAAAGAGTATCACTAAAGATAAAAAGGACATTTTATAATGGAAAAAAAGGGTCAATTCTTCCAGAAGATGATACCTTCAACAAGTAACTATGTCTCTATGCCTAGTTTTCTCGTGTGGTAAAGGGGATAAAAGTTTCTGCTTAACAAGAAGAGTTGTGAGGACTAATGAGATAACATCTACATTTTTACTACCATACTTGCCACATAGTAAATATTCATAAATGATGACCTGTTTATTTGAATTCAGGCTCCATGAAGGCAGGAACTTTTTTTCAGTGTGTCTTCAGTGTTTAGGATAATGCCTAGTAAACACCTATTTGTTGAATGAATGACATGAAAAATTGAAATAAATGAATGAATTGGGATTGTTGTTCATATATTGCACTGTCTGTTTCTAACATACCTAGAGCCTCAGCATGTTAGAGTTGGTAATCATCTATTTTTTCTTTGAATCTATTATAGGTCAAGTTGTATCCCCAACCAGGATATGTTGAAGTCCTAACTCCTAGTACCTCAGAATGTGACCTTATTTGGATGTAGAGTCATTACAGATATAATTTGTTAAGTTGATGAGGTCATATTGGAGTATACTGGGCCTTTAACTCAGTGTTACTGGTGTCCTTAAAAAAAGAGGAGAAGAGAGATGGAAACAGATGGGTTTGAGGGGAACACTGTATGATGGTGGAGGCAGAGATTTAAGTGCTTCAGAAGCTTCCTAGAAAGAGGCAAGGAAAGATTCTTCCCTGCAGATTTTACGGGAAGAAGGCCTGTCAACACACCCTGATTTCAGACTAATAGCCTCCAAAACTGTGAAAGAACAAACTTCGGTTATTTAAAGCTGCGTGGTTTCTGGTATTTTATTATGGCAACCTAGGAAACGAATACACTGTCCAAAGCAGAATCCCTTTTAGGACGTCTTTCATACAGGACTCTTCATTCTCTGCTTCAGTGCTTTCAGTGCTAGAGAACCTGGTGAACTTTTTAAAGTGATCCGATTGTATTTATAGATTAAAGTATGTTAAACATTTTCCGTCTCCTATTAAAATGAAGTCATCTACGCTATAGCCTCCCTGTTGATAACTTTGCATGTTCCTCCAAGTGAAAACTTCCCAAATGTTTGCTCACAAATATATTTTATCTAGTAAGGCTTCTGTTTTTTAAAGATACACATATCTAGTTTCTGTGTGATATTTATTTGGCAAAAATAAGCTAAAGAAACAATCATCTATACATATGAACACATATTTTGAAGCAATTTAGCTATTTATTTAATGGATGCTTGAAATTTACGTGAATTGTAAGTTTAGAAAAGTAATTTCAACAAAGATCAAGAAATATTTCAATGAAAGTTTATGAAAGGAGATTATTTTAAAAATATACATGCATTATCTAGTCTACCTACAAAAATGCTTTTTCTAAGATTTAATGTCATCTCTTTGACTTTTATAGGAAAAAGATATGAGATTCATTTAAAGAACATTTCTGCATCAGTAGTGAATGGGAATGATAATAGTGCCTAGCTCATAGGATGACTGTAAGGATGAAATGAGACAATGCATGGAAAGTATTAGTTCAGGCTGAGCATGGTGCACTTTGGGAGGCAGGAGGATCACTTGAGGCTAGGAGTTCAAAACCAGCCTGGGTAACATAGTGAGACTCTGTCTCTAAAAAATAAAGTTAAATAAATTAGCCTGATGTAGTGGCATGCACCTGTAGTCCCAGCTACTAAAGAGGCTGAGACAGGAGACTTGTTTGAGCCTAGGAGTTTGAGGCTTCAGGGAGCTGGAGCCTGGACAACACTTTACCCTGGGCAACAGCGTGAGACCCTGACTCTTAACAAAAAAAAAAAAAAAACAATAAAAATGAAAAGAAACTTGTACTGTTGATAAATGCTAATGAAAAAGAGGTCTCATTTTTTCTGAAACCAATAAAAAGGTACAGTTTCTTCAGCGAGAAATACAGTTTTCACCAAGGACCCAGAGATTGTAGTATTTTGTTTCTTACTTATCAAGCAATAACTGAGAATTTTAGAGCAGGCTAAAAACAAATGAAAATTTGAAGCGGGAAAAAAAATCACAGGAAAAGGAATTGTGATGGTAGAAATTCATAAAAAAAAAGTATTAGTATGGTACTTTGATCTAGTAAGTGGTCAGTACATGTTGTTATTGTGTTACTATGTACCATGTTAACAAAACCTTTTTACATATGGGGATCATTTGATATATTCTAATAAAACTAAATGAAAATTACTTTACCAATGATTAATATGCTCTTTTTGTGCTAATGAAAACTATAACCTAGTATACAGTTTCCCATTTTGTTTTGACTGTTGGGAAGCTCAGATCAAAATATAATACTCAGTTTCAGTCATTAATTTATTAAGAATGTTTGACATAGCAGTATTTACCTTCTTAAAGTATTCTTTGTAAAATATTGGCCTTTTTTAGATTATTAAATGGGAAGTACTGCAGTGTTAAAGATTTGTTTTTATAGATTTAAAATAGATAATGACACCTAGACTGTTGTATGGTAAAGCATTCTTACGTTTCTTTGGAGACAAGTAGTGGCAATATTCCATTAGAAGTCTAAGACACTGCTGGGCGCGGTGGCTCATGGCTGTGATCCCAGATCTTTGGGAGGCCGAGGTGTGTGGATCACCTGAGATCAGGAGTTCGAGACCAGGCTGGCCAACATGGTGAAACTCTGTCTCCATTAAAAATACAAATATTAGCTGGGTGTGGTGGTGCATGCCTGTCCTCCCAGCTACTCGGGAGGGTGAGGCATGAGAATTGCTTGAACCTGGAGGCAGAGTTTGCAGTGAGCCAAGATCGTGCCACTACACCCCAGCCTAGGCGACAGAGCGAGACTCTTTCTTTCTCAAAAAAAAAAAAAAGGTAGTCTAAGACAGAATGTTTTTTCCTAAAATGGGATGGGAGAAATCCTCTAATTCAGTGTCTTTGGTTTATGTGTGCTTTGGAGATATAGGGGATAAGAGAGGGAGAGATGGGGAGAGACAGAGGAAGAGAGGATTTATTACGTGGGTTTATTTGTTTTTAATAAGATTCCTAGGAGTTAAGAAAAAGGTAGAGATCCTTTGTCAGAGACCTCAGATCAGAAGACCCCTAAACTGTTGTATGCTGTTAGATTGCTCAGGCCAATCGTGAGGTGCACACCATTACAGAATTTAAAGCACTGTTGTTTCCAAGAGACATCTGTGATGTAATTGAACATATAATATTAGAAGCTGCATGGATATTGTGCAGCTGCATCACTCTACAGGGTAGTGAGCACAGGTTATCTTTGTTCTTTGTAATGCACTTTGTCTGGTTTTTTGGCTGCTCTTCTCTTTATTGCTGGTTTTAAGCAATTTGATTGACATACTTTGCAGTTTTCTTTGTATCTGTAGTGCTTGGGGTTTATTGAATTCCATAGGTCTATGAGTTTACAGTTTTTATCAAACTGAAAATTTTGGAGATTACTTCTAAAAATATTTTCTGTCTCCTCTTTCACCTTGTTTGGAGACTCTTAATTACATTCTAATATTAGACCACTTAAAGTTCTCCCATAGCTTGCTGATCTTGTTTATTAATTTATTTTTAGTATTTTTTGTCTCTGTGCTTCATTTTGGTTAGTTTCTCTTGCCATGTTTTCAGATTCATTGATTTTCATTGATTTTTTTCTTCTGCAATATCTAACCCGCCTTTAATTCCATGCAGTGTAATTTTCATCTCTGGAAGTTCAATTTTGGTCTTTTTTTTTTTTTTTTTGAGACAGCGTCTCTCTGTGTCGCCCAGGCTGGATGCAGTGGTGTGATCTCTGCTTACTGCAAGCTCCGCCTCCCGAGTTCATGCCATTCTCCTGCCTCAGCCCCCCGAGTAGCTAGGACTACACGTGCCCGCCACCACGACTGGTTAATTTTTTTATTTTTTATTTTTATTAGAGACAGGGTTTCACCATGTTAGCCAGGATGGTCTCAATCTCCTGAGCTCGTGATCTGCCGCCGTGGCTTCCCAAAGTGCTGGAATTACAGGCGTGAGCCACCTTGTCCGGCCTTGGTCTTTTTATATCTTCCTTATCTCTATCTAACATGTTCAGTCTTTTCTCTAGTTCTTTGAACATACGGAATTCAGTTACAGTAACTGTGCAATAAAATTTCAGTGACATCTGTATCATTTCTGGGCCTGTTTTAAGTTTATCCCCCCTGCTGCTCTCACACACACACACACACACACACACACACACACACACACACACACACTCTCTCTCTCTCTCTCTCTCTCTCTCTCTCTCTCTGTCTCTCTCTCTCTCTCTCTGTCTGTTATGCTTCTCTGCATGCCTAGTAAATTTTTATTGGATGTTAGATATTGTGAACTTTCTTTTTAAAATGCTGGAGTTGTTTTGTTGTTTTGTTGTTGTTTTTGTTTTGTTTTTGAGACGGAGTTTCACTCTTGTTCCCCAGGCTGGAGTGCAATGGAGTGATTTCAGCTCCCTGCAGTCTCCACCTCCCAATATTTTTATATTCTGATACATGTTCTTGAACTTTATTTTAGGACACAGTTGAATTATTTGGAAACAGTTTTATCTTTCTAGGTCTTGCTTTTAAGTTTTAAGTGGGAGCCAGAGTAGTATTTAGTGTAGTGCTAATTATTTCCCACCAATGACGCAAGATTCTTCTGACTGCTATAACACTTTCCTTATGAAATGAAGGATTTTAATCTGATTTGGGGGAACAGAAACTATTCTTAGGTCTTTGTGAGCTCTGTGTATTCATCCTTCTACTCCTTTCAGGTGTTTCTTTGCCTAGCCTTAGGTAGTTTCCTTGCACACATGTGCTAATCAGTACTCTACTGAATGAGTCAAGACTTTTTGTAGGTCTTCATAGTTATCCTTCTGTGCCCTCTTTTCTCTGCTACCCTGTCTTAGGAATCTAACCACCCCAGTGTCCCTAGATGCTCAGTTTCATCTCCTCAACTCAGGGAGTCCATCATAACTGCATGGGTATCCTTTCCTGTACCAGGTCCTGAAAACTCTCAAAGCTCATCTTCTATGTTTTGTGCCTCTCAGGGATCTGCCTTTTGCTTTCTTATGTCTAGTGTCTTGCAAACTGTTTAATTTTTGTCTGTTCTTTTGTTTGTTTCAGGCAAGGGAGTGAATCTGGGCTCTTACTCTACCTTGGCTGAAAGGCTTTTTACTTTCAGTTAACTTTCAGTTTTGGAAATCTCAAACATGTAATGCATTCCCATGTACTCATCATCTAGCATTAATAGTAATTCTCTCTGAGCCAGGCTTGTTTTATCTACTACTTTGTTCCACCCACTCCCACTTTTTTCCTCAATGTCTCTGGATTATTTTGAATCAAATCATATTGTTTCAACAAATAATTGAGTATATATCTCTATAACAAACCAGTGCAGTCTCTCTTAAAAGCATAACCACAATACCTTTACCATATTTAAAATACTTATTCATTAATACCTTTTAATATCCCATCTTTGTTCAGGTTTTCTTAGTTTTCCCATGGTTTTGCTTGCTTAGTTTTGAAGTTAGATCATTTGAAACAGGAGCCATGTAACCTTTACCTATTAATCTCTTCCTTTTAATTGCTACCTCGTCTTAGTTTGGACTCTTGATGTTGTCACCCAGACTGGATACTTGATACCGTAAACCAGATTATGACATGAGTTTTCTATCTGGTTTCTTTGGCTCCATTTACTGCCTCTTCTTCCCACAGCTACAGCTACTCTCCCACTAAAGCTTTTGATTCATCTTGCTTCTTTGTAAAATATGGATACGGTAGTGTCACTCTTAAGCTTAAAAACCTTCAATAAATAAGGTACAGAAAAATATATGTACAATATCCTTTTTGTATAGAAATCAAAAGTGATATGTATGCTTGTGTATCTGGAGATTGTTTTAGGAAGGGTACATAAGAAGTTATTAACAATGATTGCTTCAATAGAAGAAAATTGAATTACTGAAGTGAGAAGACCTTTTAAGCTTTTGTTTGATTTATGTAATTATATATATTCATTTTAAATAAAATAAATTTTTAAAGTAAATACTATTGAATACCGAATAAATAATAAGAGTCTAAACCTGGTATTCAGGAACCTTTCACTCTTTGGCTGCAACCTCTTTTCCTTTTGTTTCCAGCCAGGGTACAGCCCTCCAAGGTGGCATTTGGAAATGTTACAGTGTTTAGAGATTTCTACCAGTGTGAATATAGGGACCCACAATTTTAAATTTTCTGTAGTACTTAATGTGGTCCCATTCAAAATGGCTTTAACTCACCTTTGAGAATTGCTTTTCTCCCATACAGTCTCTGACACCCAGGCAAATTAAAATGTTACCTGGCTTGAGTTTGGGTTCTGTAAGCTTTCTATATAAGGGTTCTGTATAAGCTTTAGTTTTCCCATTCCTTTGATGCATCATGCCTTCTATCCTAAATGTGTTTTCTCTTTTTTACCTGTCTGGTAAGGCTGTATTGCCTACTTTTATAGTTATTTGTGTGTATGAGTTATTTTTAACACTAGAGTTTGAAGTTTTTATGGGGAGATATGTGCTTCACATGCGTTTTTGTGATCTTTATAAAGTTATTTAGATACCTTGTATGCCTCAGTGTAGCTATACTGTGGGATTGTTCTAGGAATTAAATCAATGAATGCATATAAGGTGCTTAGAACAGGATAGTATGTAGGTTACAGTGCATTGTACAATGCTTTATATATAGTATGCTCTCCATTCAGTAGAATGTAATATTTTGAACATAGTATTTGGACTGTTCATAAAAAAAGAAACTGAACATTATCATTAATATAAATACAAACTTTAGACTTTTTTTTTTTTTTTTTACAGCTGGCATCTGTTCCTCATTCATTCGTGAAATAGTGTAGTTGAGTGGTTCCTATGTGCCAGACATTCGTGGGAGGTATTGGGAATACAATGGTGAATAAAGACTGTGTCTTTCCATATGAGGCTTACATAAATATTTAATTGCTTATTAAAATATGAGTTCTATAAAAGAGTGTGACAAGGAAAAGCCTAAATTAGGTACAGTGTGAGAGTACAAATGAGCCTTTTCTAATTGAAAATAAGTCTGAAAGGTTCTCTTTGGTATAACAAATTGTTACACCTTTATTTTGCCTACTTTGGAAAATAACTAGACTATTAGCCATTGTATACAACATGATAGTCTTAGCTACCAACATAGTTATTCCTAACAATAGCAATAATAATCAGTAACTGTCTTTACTTCATGTTAATGGAATTTTTGACATCTCCAAGAGCCTGAAATTGAGATTCTTAAAGTATTATTTCAAATGATGATTCTATTTGTATAGTGATGACTATAAAAATAACTATATTGTGAAAACTTTCATGAATTCCATTTTCATAATTAGGAGAGAGTCTTTGAAATATGGAGAATTCTTGATTTTAATGTGATTTTATATTGTTTGCATTTCTCTACATATTAGATATTAACTCCACAAAAATTGGAATTGCTAAGAGCCCAAATACAACAAGAATTAGAAACTCCAATGAGAGAACGTTTTCGGAATCTAGATGAAGTAAGTAACTTACGTTGTTTACTGTGCATTTATCCTCATGGGATAAGAGTCTCGATGAAAAGCATCATTCCCCTACTCCAAAACCCTGCAATAGTTCCCCCATTTACTCAGTCATTACAGTGGCCTCTAAGGCTTCACAGGATTGGACTCCCATTACCTCTCTTATCTCCTTTCCTTTTTCCACATTGGCCTACTGATGTTTCTTTGACACTCCAGAATTGGTGCATTTCTTTAATTTTATTTTTAGTTTTAATTAAAAAAAACTATCTTTTTTTGAGATAGAGTCTGGCTCTGTTGCCCAGCTGTAGTACAGTGGTGTGATTTCGACTCACTTCAACCTCCACCTCTCAGGTTCAAGCGATTCTCTTGCTTCAGCCTCCCAAATAGCTGGGATTACAGCCACTTGTCACCATGCCTGGCTAATTTTTGAATTTTTAGTAGAAACGGGGTTTCACCATATTGGCCAGGCTAGTTTCGAACTCCTGATCTCAAGTGATCCACCAGCCTTGGCCTCCCAAAGTGTTGGGATTACAGGCATGAGCCACCATGCCCAGCCAAATTGGCACATCTCTTCTGCCTTGAATACTCTCCCTCCAGATATGTCGTGGCTAACTTCATCTCTTGTAAGTCTTTGCTAAAATGTCACTTTCTCAGTGGGGCCTACTTTGACTGCTCCCGTCTACCTATTTAATATTGCAACCTGCCTTTCCCATTCCTGCTTAGACCTTTAGACCTCCTTACCTTGCTCTGTTTTTCATTTTCTTTCTGGTATGCATACCTTCTACTGTGCTATATAATTTACTTATTTATTGTGTTTATTTTCTGTTTTACCACCTCTAGAATGGAAGTTGCATGAGAGGAGGAACCTTTACCTGTTTTGTTCATTGTTATATTCCAAGTTCCTAGAACAGATTTTGGTATACAGTAGGTGCTCAATTAATATTTGTTGAAAGAGAGAATGAGTTTCATGCCACTTCATAAAAGTAAAAATCTGTTACAGTTTTACTTCAGGCTGAGACTAGTCTCCTTTGGTGAAGTGTTGGTGTAGTATGATTAAATGCTTAATAAAGGGGACAGGATAAGACTGCAGATAATAAGTATATTAGATACTTGCTAGACATTTTATATATGTTACCTTATTTAACAAATATAGCTGGCCTTATACATACAAATGATTATTGTCTCCTTCAAAATGGGCCCCTTTGGAGAGCTGTAGTCTAGTGATGTGGTCATTACCCAAAACAGTGTAGAATCGTCTTTTATAATGGCTTACTGGCTTGATAATATGATCTTTCTAATACACACCTAGTGGCAAGCCATTATGGTTGGGGAGTAGATTTAATTTTTGTAAATAAACAAAATTTGACCCAAGATAAGTGATTAAGTTCAATACAAGCTTTTTTTTTTTTTTTTTTAAATCAAAGCAAAGTGTATCTGTAGTAAAATCATGAAACCCATTTTCTTGGTTTATAAACTGGCTTAGAATTCTTTGAACTAAAGATTTTTGGTGAGCTGGGTGTTTTAGGAGACATGCTTTCTTTGTTCAATCGAATTTCTTGTTAGCGTCTCCTGTATCTTTCTGCTCTGTTGCCTGAGTTTCTCGTTGGGTATTCAGAATGCCAGCAGCTTTCATAGAGTAGTGTTAGGAAGCAGGATGAGAGCACTCCAAGGAATTGCATGTGTTCCTGGTCAGTCAGTAGAGATGATGCTGCATGTATTCTTCAGGTTGGTGTGTTGAACTATCATTGTAATATTTAATTAGATGTTAAGATGCTGTACTAAATATTACAATAACCTTTTATCTCTCTTGAATTTGTTTTACTTATACTAAATTATACATTTAAAAAATCTATCTTTTGAAAGGTGTGCTGCATTCTTACATGTTGTTTAAGTCCAGAGATTAACACTTTCCTCATACTATACACTTTTATTATAATGAGAACCAGTGAAGAAATAAGATTAATTGAATGGTAATTTACTTTTTGGGTATCTTTTCAGGAATGTACTAATTCTATATGTAGGATACTTGTTATGAGGACTTTTCCAAATTCATTTGTATTTCTGTTAAATTTATTTTTTACTTTTAGAGTGGCTGTCATTATAATGTAATTTAAAATTATATTTGTAAAAGTGATTATTGGAGTGAGTACACATTTTGTTTATAAATCTATGATAAATTGCATTCTCCCTTTAATTTAGGAGGTGGAAAAGTATAGAGCTGCATATAATAAGCTTCGCTATGAACATACATTTCTCAAGTCAGAATTTGAACACCAGAAGGAAGAGTATGCACGTATTTTAGACGAAGGAAAAATAAAATATGAATCAGAGGTAAGTGATTGATTATACGAGTTTCTTCATTATTGTTCTAGTCAACACAATTTTATAATTATATATTTTTAAAAATTTCAAATTAGAGTTGATTGCATAACTTCATTAATTAATGGTGGAGTATTCATCATGATTTTCATCAGCTCCATATCAACAGTTTTCTTGTGAAAGTTCTGTTTTGACTGTAGATTTTTAAAATTCTATTTATCTTTTATTTTGTCTCAGCCAATGGAGATAGACAGCTTTGGGGAATTTCATTATACAAAGTCTTTTGTCTCATATAGCCACAGAGATGGACTTCTCTCTGCAAATATAGTTAGTGTGATTCCTTACTTAGCATTGTTCTTTCTGCTTCCTGGAACCAAACCACATACAGGAAAGCTCTAGCTGTCAACCTGTGCACTTTGATATAAACAAGGAGTTTATACCTTAAAGTGTACCCATCAACTTCAAGAAGTAGACTTTGTTTTTTCTGCCATTTGCAACTGGAGCGTTCTCTCTATGCTGCCTACACCATATATTCCTACTTCATCTCCATTGCTTTTGGCAGCCTTTCTACTCGTTTTGTGGTTTGTCTCCTAGTTTTGCCCAAAATGGGGTTACTGTTTTTCATTCCTTGTGTTGCTTTTGGAATATTTTTCAAATGGAAGAGAGAAATACTAGTTTTATCCTGCCATATTCATAAAAAATAGGTTGGTATCTATAGTTTTGTGAAATATTCTCTTTACAAACATATCTACATTTTAAATTTATTGCATTGTCTTTATTTGGAATTAAGAGTTAAAATATACTTACCTTCCTTTACCAATTACTAAATATTTACAGTGTTCTGGGCATTTAATAAAAACTAAAACTGTTCTACTTGGATCAGACTGTTTTATTCTTATTAGTGAGCAAACTGCTATGAGTGTTTCATCTGTAAGAAACTATATGAACCTTGGATCATTTGTGTCCATTGACAGTGTAGTACCAGAATGCTATAAATATTTATAATAGTTTTTTTGCATTAAAAAAAACTCTTTATAACTTTAAGGCTTTAAGTGCTTTATTCATATATTATCTCACTTCTATTACAATAGTCAGTGAGATGAGGCAGGACTGTCTTATTTGATTGATTGATCAAGAGAAAGTCTTGCTCTGTGGCCCAGGCTGGAATGCAGTGGCACAATAATAGCTCACTATAACTTAAGCTCAAGTGATCCTCCTGCCTCAGGTCCCCAAGTAGCTAGGACCACAGGCATGTATTACCTCATCTGGCTAATAAAACAAACAAACAAACAAAAAATATAAAAACTCTTGTAGAGATAGGGCCTTGCTATGTTGCCCAGACTGATCTCGGGCTACTAGCCTCAAGCAGTCCTCCTGCCTCAGCCTCTCAAAGTGCTGGAATTAGAGGCATAGGCTATTGTGCCCAGCCCTTATTTTCTTCATTTTAAATGAAACTGAGGCACAGGATAAGTGAATTTATTGGGGGAACTCACCCCCAATATTTCAATGTAGGTTCTTTCTATTTTCCATAAGTGTCGGCCGGCTGAGAAATAAAGAGAAAGAGTACAAAGAGAGGAATTTTACAGCTGGGCCTCTGGGGGTGACATCACATATCGGTAGCACTGTAATGCCCACCTGAGCCTCAAAGCCAGCAAATTTTGTTAAGTATTTCAAAAGGGGAGGGTGTGTAAGAACAGGGAGTAGGTCACAAAGATCACATGCTTCAAAGGGCAAAAAGGAGAACAAAGATCACAAGGCAATGGGCAAAAGCAGAATTACTGATAAGGGTCTATGTTCAGTGGTGCATGCGTTGTCTTGATAAACATCTTAAACAGCAGAAAACAGGATTCGAGAGCAGAGAACTGGTCTGACCCCAAATTTGCCAGGGTGGAGTTTTCCAATCCTAGTAAGCATGAGGGTACTGCAGGAGACCAGGGTGTATTTCAGTCCTTATCTCAACCGCATAAGACAGACACTCCCAGATTGGCCGTTTATAGACCTCCCGCTAGGAATGCATTCCTTCCCCAGGGTATTAATTATTAATATTCCTTGCTAGGAAAAGAATTTAGCGATATCTTCCCTACTTGCACGTCTGTTTATAGGCTCTCTGCAAGAAGAAAAATACGGCTCTATTTTGCCTGACCCTGCAGGCAGTCAGACCTTATGGTTGTCTTCCCTTGTTCCCTGAAAATCACTGTTATTCTGTTCTTTTTCAAGGTGCACTGATTTCATATTTTTCAAACACACGTTTTACAATCAATTTGTACAGTTAACACAATTATAGTGGTCCTGAGGTGACGTACATCCTCAGCTTATGAAGATAACAGGATTAAGAAATTAAAGTAAGACAGGCATAAGAAATCATAAAAGTATTAATTTGGGAACCGATAAATGTCCATATTAAAATGAAATCTTAATAATTTATGTTCCTCTGCCACGGCTCCAGCTGGTTCCTCCATTCGGGGTCCCTGACTTCCTGCAACATGAATTGTTCAAAGTCTCAGAGAAAGTCAGCAGCCAGGTTATAGTAGAACTCAGATGTACCCACAGCCCACAACATGTTTTATTTGTTATTGTTTTCATTTAATGTCATTATATTATATTGGCATATGCCATAACATTTACAAAATGCCCATTCTCTCCAGCTTCAGCTGAAGAGGGAGTAGGGAGGCCAGACATAGACTAAGTCCATGTTCAGTGTTGCAGTCCTACACTTTGCACAAAGAAGAATTTGTAGTCTCCCACACAGACCCTCAAACCCACAAACCAGTCCACCACTCACATTCCATATGCCCTAAACCTGGGTCTCGACAATGTGTAGTCAACACAAATCCTAGACCTTACCCATTGGAAGGTGACTGGCAGTTTGAAGTTGCCACTCTGATTATGGGCCATCTAGCAACTGCAAATTTTGTTAAGTAGCCAGTTGATCTACACTGCATGTGGTATAAAGAGTTTTGAATCCAAGGAATTACATGTAAAAATTATCTTGTGGAAAGTAGGAATGATAAAGATTGCTAGCCTAAAACGAAGATTTAGTATATTGAAGAGAAAACACTAGGTTTCATATAGTGTTGCTTTATTTTATACTTTCCTTTTAAAATCTAATGATGATATTTATCTGATAAGGATTATTTGTATTTTCTAGTTTCTTAGTTTTGTTGTTTTTCAGATAGTGAAACCTGCATTTGAAATCTGATGACTAATCTATTTTTCACTTATGAAGGACTAAGTGATATTCATTAAAATTTTTAAGGGGTTGGTATAATCATTAATTTATCATTATTATTATTATTATTTTTGAGATGGAGTCTTGCTGTGTCACCCAGGCTGGGGTGCAGTGATGTAGTCTCAGCTTACTGCAGCCTCTGCCTCCCAGATTCAAGTGATTCTCCTGCCTCAGTTTCCCAAGTAAGTGGGATTACAGGCAGGGGCCACCAGGCCTGGCTAATTTTTGTATTTTTAGTAGAGTTGGGGTTTCACCATGTTGGCCAGGCTGGTCTCGAACTCCTGACCTCAAGTGATCCTCCCACCTCAACCTCTGTCTCTTATACACATCTAGATGTGTATAAGAGACAGGGCTAACATGGTGAAACCCTGGCTATACTATAAAAATCCAAAAATTAGCCTGGCATCGTGGCACACGCCTATAGTCCCAGCTACTCAGGAGGCTGAGGCAGGAGAATCGCTTGAACCCACGAGGAGGAGGTTGCAGTGAGCCAAGATTGTGCCATTGCACTCCAGCCTGGGTGACAGAATGAGACTCTGTCTTTAAAAAAAAAAAAAAAAAAAAAAAAAAAAAAAAAAAAAGGCATGCTTTTTCATGTGACTGTAAGAATGTATTAAGTCTGAGACTTCATACAGGTGAAATGCTGAAGTTGCATATATAGTCATTATTCAAAAGTGGGACTATTTTGTTTTTATTATATTAGGACTCTTATATTTTCTGGAAATAGTAATGACAATGCAGAGTTGTAGGCACAGGTGATTATAATGGTAGACTGAGTGAAATAATCAATGGTAATTCAGTGGAGACAAAATATTAAGATCGCAGGAGAGAGGGACGAGGAGCACTACATCCTGTGAAAAACCATCAAAGCGACAGTACGTAATGACAGGCCACTGAGTTTCTTCCATCTGGCTTTGCAAATTGGCTGTGCTCTTCCTTGGCGTTATGGGTCAGGTGCGGAGCCAAAGTTCCTATGGCAAAAAGGAGACCTCCCCTGATTTCCTGGAAATGCTGGCGTTCTTTTTTTTTTCTTTTCTTGAGATGGAGTCTCGCTGTGTCCTCCAGTCTGGAGTGCAGCGGCACAATCTCGGCTCACTGCAAGCTCTGCCTTCTGGGTTCACACCATTCTCCTGCCTCAGCCTCCCAAGTAGCTGTGACTACAGGCGCCCACCACGCCCGGCTAATTTTTTTGTATTTTTAGTAGAGACGGGGTTTCACCATGTTAGCCAGGATGGTCTCGATCTCCTGACCTCATGATCTGCCTGCTCTGGCCTCCCAAAGTGTTGGGATTACAAGTGTGAGCCACCGTGCCCGGCCAAAATATGAACTTTAAGTATGTAAGTAATTTAAGTGATATTTTATTTGTGTAAGGAATGATAAAACGTTTTTGCATAAAATATGCCATCATTAATTTAGGAAAAATAAATTATAGTACATAAAAGGGAAAAGAGGAAACTCACTATAGTAGTGATTATTGTTTTCTTTTTTTTTAATTTGTTACTTTTTCATATGTCTGTCTTTTTTTTCTTAAATTATACTTTAAGTTTTGGGGTACATGTACGTAACTTGCAGGTTTGATACATAGGTAAGGAAGTGATCCAGTTTCAGCTTTCTCCCTATGGCTAGCCTATTTTCCCAGCACCATTTATTAAATAGGGAGTCCTTTCCCCATTTCTTGTTTTTGTCAGGTTTGTCAAAGATCAGATGGTTGTAGATATGTGGTGTTATTTCTGAGGGCTCTGTTCTGTTCCATTGGTCTATATTTCTGTTTTGGTACCAGTAC